TCTTTCCCAATGGGCAGTCCTTTGTAGCTCTACTGCACATCGTCTACATGGATCACAGACATTACCCTTGCATCAAACCAAATCTGTTCCTGGGGCTAAGTGGAGCAGTGTGGAAAGTTCAAAAGAAAGCTAGGATCATTATTAAAAAAAATGGAACTTAAATGATAATGTGGGTGGTGGTTTACTGCCTGGAGGAGTCCTGGGTATGAATTTAGTGAAATCACCATCTGTGTTGCTTCTGCAAAGGGAAATAAGGTGCCTGGGCACTTACTAGCATAATAAATTCAGGTAACTGGCTTAGATGTACAGATCAAATACCTTCCTTCCCATGCTTCAAATCAATGCACCTCACATGGACAAACATTTGTGTGAAAAAGGCCATTTATTAACTTAGGGCTGTAGTGGGAGGATGTTAGAAGATGAACATCTGTCATGGCAGACTTTGTGTGACAATCCACATGTAGGGAGTTAAGTTGTTGTTAAATAGTCTTTCTCCTGAAAGATTTTTTTTGTCCTTTTGCTCTCACTCAAAGAATTGAATCATTTTGCCCATATCTCAAGCTTTCTATAGAGTCTTTCCCCCTTCCCTCAAAGTGAATTTACAAACCACTGGTTTGGTGGTCCAATGAAAAGGGATTGGCCATAGTGTACACATACCAACTTTGAATTATTCGGGCTGGTTAGAAATTGTAGCTGGTGGACATGTAAGCCTGTTTCAATAAAATGCTTTTTCTGGAAATATTTAACACTCAAGATCCAGTTGAGATCCAGTGATTTCAGTTCCCTTCTGGGTGAACTCAGAATGCCCCTTTGGACCAAGCAAACTTCAAATAGTTTGAGGACTCTCTGAGGAGCAAACCTTGCTCTTCGTCATGTGTTGTCTAACCGCTAGTGCTGGGTCAAAAGCACTGAACCTAGTTTAGATGAACTGGCCTGATAAAACCCACTGTTGTTAAGTCTGGTACCCCACTATTGCTGCCCTACCACCCCCAGTTCTGTGTCATTCCTGCCTTTCTCAGCAGGGGCCTCTTCCACTACTGCCACTGGCCCAGTCCTTCACTCCACCCCCATGCACAGACCGAGAAGACTCTGGCCCTCAGGAGAGAGTCAAAGTTACCCTCAAAGCCATCTGATAGCCAAATGTTAGCACACTCCTCATGTGACAGTGCAGATGGCTTTAAGACATTTCTACTTTTTAAAAAAAAAAAAAAGAAAAAGAGATGTTTGATACCAGGACATTTTCAGTAAAGGCCTTCTGCTTCTGTCAATGTATGTGAGCTTTAGCTAGGGACACCATGAGTTTGGGATTTTGTTCTTTAAAAGTTGTGAGCCCCTTTGTTGTCTTTGGGCCAGTTTTAAAATTAATAATTAGCAAAGCATGTAGTTATTGCTATGTGCTTCAGTCTTGGCTAGCTGAATTTTATTTAGCAATGTATGTAAAATAAAATTATCACAGCTCAAACTCATTGAGATATTCAGGTTTATGCATGAATTTAGGAATGATTACAAGCAAGGTTTGGTTTGAATAGTCACTGTTGAACAACACTGGAAAATAGCCAAGATATGGGCACCAATCACTAACGTGTATAAATTCAAAGGCATTTCAGAAAATGATCTCTGTAACTATTATCTCACCTTCGCTGACTGTAAAAATGACAATGGTAACGTTTGTCCACCGCAACTAGTGTTTTGAATATTAATTTAGATTTGTAAAGCACTTCAGTTAGGTAAGTTACTCTTAAGTCAGGACACCATTTGACCATGAACATGCAAATACACATAATCCTGTATTTTTACACCTAGCAAAAAGATGGAGTAAAGGAATCCTTTATTTCTAAAGTACATGAACTTGCTTTCATCAGTCAACTCCATAACACACAACTGTCAGCAGCAAGCTGTGTTGAGATTCCACTTGTCATTTCATTCTGATCTGGATAAGAATATGTTTTTAATATGTCTTGTGAATTCCTTCTAGATAAAACTTTCCACCCAATGCATATCATAATTTCTCCTGTGATATTTTTCAATAAAACCTGTTTTCTGTCTGAAGAAAAATGTGCTGTCTTGTTCTTTTCCCCTTTGCCTCCCCAGTGCATAGTTTGGGACTGGGATTCCAATGGAAAGCATGACTTCATTGGAGAATTTAGCTCGACTTTCAAGGAAATGCGAGGAGCTATGGAAGGAAGACAGGTAAGTGGAAACCACCGCAGCAATCTCAGTCTTTAAGCTTTGTAGAGCAGTGTTCCTCAGACAATCCTGTAATAAAGCGAGTGACATTGCCTCATTATCTCTCAGAAGTTAGTTGCTGTGTTGATCTTGCCCACAAGTTTTACTGTTATCTGGACATGATAATCTGAAAATGCAAAAAGCAGCCTTTCCTGTACTTCCATGCCTGAAATACTTAGGATCTTTTTCTAGTTCACATTCTACAGGCATTTCTTTCTGCTGAGATTTATTTCCTTTGAGCCCAAGCACATGGTTTCTATGAGGTGCTGTGCTGTCATGGCAAAGCAGATGCACAGTCTGCGTACTCAAAGCATTTCCCTGCTGGCCTAAAGGCCTTTATTGGGTGAGGGTCATTCTACATCTTTCTCTGTTTCTCATGTGCTGCGGTCATTGCTGCCAGCTGTAACTTGAACCCATCATGATGAAATTAATCAGTTTCCTAAAAATCTCATGAATTACAGTCCTAAGGGAGAATGAAATTGTTAGTTTATTAATAATTTAACTTCTTTATGTCAGCCTGATCTTTTCAAATTGAAGTTGATGGTAATTATTGAATATGATAAATGATTTGGCATGTCTTATTCCAGAAATTGTCATTTCCTATTATTACGTACTCCTGAAGGTGTTAGTTCTGATAAATTCTCTGAGGGGGAGTTAAAAATGTTGACTTTCTTATCTGCTGATAATTTGTATTCACTACTTCATGGTGGTCTCAACACCAAATACAAATGCCTAATAAGCTTTATTTGGGCTTTCTATTAAGGTTCTGTTTATAACATGTTAACGGGAAGCTAAGAAGGAGTCAAAAGGTGTTTAATAAATAGGAACCAGTCAGGCTACTCCATAGGTCAAGAAGTTTTTATGATTATTCTAGATATTTTCTATTGATGGTCTTAGAACAACCTAGAGTTTAGCAAATGTTGCTCATGTGTGTAAAATACTCTTCATATGTATCAGTCATATGTTAACCCATTATAAATAACTTCCGAACAGAACCTGAATGTAAATGAAACCCTGTTTTGTTCTTTTAAATTAAGTCAGAGGATCAAAACTTAAACCAGACTGAATTTGAGTGGAAATAAAACCTACTTAAAGAAGTAAACAGATGCCTTGTTAACCCTAACATTAACAAGGCCAGTGATGTGACAACACTCCAATTTTGTATACAAGTGCCTGTGGCTGGGAAGGGACTGTGTGAGAGTGGTAAAGGGTGTGTATTTCCAACGTTAAGGTCTTCAAAAGAGCATTAGAGTCTTTCCCAAACAGACAGCTTGTTGGCCAAGACAAGAGACGGGCAGTCCAGAGTGCCAGGAATGGCTGTGAAGGGCAAACTATGTGTTCTTTATTATGATGAAGAAACAGTGTGCTCTTTTCATTCTCAGCTAACAAAAAGGATGGTTACTTTTTCAGAGCCACAAGAAGTTAGTACAGCCATTTGCCAATTCTTGTTCTAGATTGACACTGCAGTTTCAGAGGAAGAATTCCGTCCAGGAATGTTTTAATGTTGCACAGGAGTGTTTTAATGTTGGACAATGCTTTAAGTGCCTGAACCTTTGTCTTGTCCTGCCATTTGCCATTCACTAGGCTGCCTTTCACCTGTATAACATTACAAAATGCTTTTCACTGCAAAATTACAGCTTTTCCACTCCACACGCCTAAGGCGTCGTGGCGTTATTTCTTCCTTGTTGCTCTCATTCTGTTTTTACTGTGCAGTTATTCTGTGGGCTTACACCTGCAAAATCCAATGCTGTTGTTAGAGCCGGTTCTTATGGGACATGATTGTCACCAATGTGAGAATCAGTCCTTCTACCCACTCCACTTTTCTAAGTCTATTTTCTAGTCTATTCTAGAGGAAAACAAGATTTAGTGGATAAGACAGTAGGTAATAGTCATTTAAGTGGCTAATAAATATTGCCCCAAAAATATACATGCACATGCTAGCCAGCTCTTGCACCTGATGAAAGCACGCTTCAGTGAGCGCTATTAGCATGATAGGCAAGAACAAGCAGTAGGGACTTTGAGCAGATCCTGTTGAAAACCATATAGTTATTATGGAAAAAGTATTGTGATCACTGTTGTACAGGAGAGGTCCCTTGTGTGGAAGAGCATGTCACTTGTCACTGGGCTGGAGCCAAAGAGCAATTTCCCTTTCCATTTCCCCTTCTCTTTCTCTCTCCCTCTGTTCCTCCCTCCCTCCCTTGTCCTCTCTCCGTTTTCTCTATTTTTTCTCTTTCTCTCTCTGTTCCTCCCTCCCTTATCCTATCTCCTTTTTCTCTAGTCTTCAGAAATAACTATTGCTGCTAAAGGCAACATATGCCATTATCTGTGGACCCCATAAATACATCTTAGTGCATAGTTTATCTCAACATCCTTTGTGCAACATTAAGCAATGTGATTAGCATTTGTTGGGTTTTTATTTAGTTTTATTCTCCCCACAGAAAAAGCATGTGCAATGGAGTGTTTACTTTGAATAAAGGGGATTTAGTAAACTTTGAGGGAATGGCAAAGGAGGAGGAGGATGTTTTACGTTCAAGTGGATGTGTTGCTAGGTACTTCTAATAAGGAAGGCCACATCAGAGAAATGTAATTATACATGCGTGAGGAGGTGAGTGGGTTAGACATAGTCCTTCTTTCTAGAAGAGAGTTTTTTATAGCCTCAGACCAGAAAATATTCTGTTTTCCATGTAGTACTCCTTTCAGTCAGGGGAACAAAATTGCCAGCTACAACCTTCAGCCCATGGCATTAAGCATTCTTTCACATAGCTTCATAATGGTGAGTGTCAAAGATGAGACCAAAACCTGGAATGTTGTCTCAGATGCTGTGGAAGCCAGTGTGAAGAGTAGAGCTCAGCTCTGACATCCCTGTTTGTGTTGGTAAGGAGACACAGTGAAACTTTTTATTCTGGTTATTTATTCTTTTGTGCAGTAGACTTTACGGCCAGCTACAGTACATTGCTATAGTTTCGTCAAAAGATAATTAAAAGATAATCAAAACACCCTGGTGATAGTGATAGATAGGGTTTTTCACTCTCTCAGGCAACTGGAGAGAATAGGAGGGAACATTTATCATTGATGAGGGATCCAGGAACTCTTCTTAAGTACCAGCTGCAAATCTGTGCAGTGTTAAAGGAAGCTACACCAATGGCACAATCCCTCTCTGCCCGTCAGCAATGTCTGTATTAGCTGGTATCAGCTCCACAAGTTTTCGTAAAAGCATTAAGCAGTAAGCGTGGGAGTAACATAGTAGTTTGTGCTGGTGAGCAGGAAGAACTGTGTGTCATCTGTGAACTGCTAGTACTTCCCACGATTTCATCAGCTCACCTCATCTCTGGAGGAGTTGACAAGGATCTCGAGGTTGCCTTTTAATTGTACATAGTTCATCCTCCAGAAAGCACAGAGTATTCTAACCGATTCTTCAACCTCCCCCTCTTGGCTACAAGATAAAAGTGTCTTGTAGCCAATCTATCAACTGCTACAGAACCATTTAAGATGGTCAGAATGGGTATGTGTCACCTACTTAATTAAAGGAGGTGATGGTTCTTCTAAGACTGTTTCAGTTCCATCCCTGGGCTGGGTACTGATTATCCCAAGTTTGAGTGTTAGCCTCTGATCAGATGAGCTTATATTTGGTTTGCTGGCTTGTCTGCACTGTGAGATTTCTTGGGAATTTGTGTTTGAGACCAGGTATCATTTAGAAAAATGTTGTGAATCCAGCACTGGCAGCTTGTTCGTGGTTGAACAAGTAGTGTGTGAAGGAAGGAAAGAAGATTCCTTCTCTGAATGACTGATCACCTGTTTTGATCAGGAACGGCATGAGTAGTTTATTAATTTATTTCCTGAATGTGGCAGGTCCTGGGTAGGATTCACAAATTTTGAATTATGACTCCTTCAGAGTAACAGTTGCTTCTCTGCAACTTTCTGACTGAAAGGATTGAATTCTGGGAAAGTTTGTTGGTCTTTGGCTGGTGGTACAGGTGAAATTAATTCATGCTGCTTAAGAAGATTTCTGTGATCATGAACAACCTCAGGATAATAGCTTGCTGTGTGTTTCTATTCCATAATAACTACCACAGTCACAGACTGTTATATTCTGACACCTAGCCTGTTTTCATACTGACCAGCAATAAAAAATGGCACAAAGACATCCTATTGTTCAAATGCACATCTGAAGCAGGCATTTCTAAACCTTCTCTTTAACATTTTCCACCATTCCAAAATTCATCATTTACTCCTTTACCATAATCTTGACACAAGAAAACACAGTAAGAACAAGTCCATCCCTATTTGCGACAGTTATTTTTTTTTAGTGAAATACTAGTAAATACTTTGAGTTTATTGTATGCTTAGGATTTGTTCCAAATATATGTATAATATATATTTTTAATATGTGTACAGTGGCAGTTTTATAAGGTGTTCTAATATTAACCTATCAAACATTTGAAAGCAAGATTAGAAAAGCGTGATAAAAATTTAAGGACTATTAAAGCTTTTCATAGTTGAAAGGAGAAATCGTCCACTAATTAGAAAAAAATTACTTTTTTTTTTTTTTTTTTTAACTGAAGGCAATAAAACCAGAGGGATTTTGGGGAAAAAAAATCATAGAAACATAAACCACCTGGATCCTCATGCAGCACAGGGGTTACGTAAGGAAAAAATCTGTTCCTGTGTTACATAAAAATGTACACGTGTGTATACATACACACAGACACACACACAAAAGGGAAAGGGGAGGAACCGTACTTACCACCTCCACTGACATTCCCACAAGTTTGGGGTATTTTTAGGGAGGCGAGGAGGGCTGCTGAGGTGCACAAGATTGGATGGGGTCCTGAGGGGATCTGAGCTGGGTTCCCCCATTTGTCCATATAGCTGACTATGATCTTAACTCAGGGCATTTGCATCAGGTAGCTCTTCAAATAACTGAGCATGGATGAGGCCTTGAAGTCTTTGGTAATGGGCCAAGGAGTTTATTGACACCAGTGGACAATTCCATGTCTAGTTTTATCAGGAGACAGGCAGGTTTATCCAGGACTGCCTGCAACATCAGCAGCTGCTGCTGGCCCCAGAGAGGGCAACAGAGGCCTTAGAGGAGGGTGCAGCCATGTCAGGCACCTGCCACATCCACGTGATTAGGCAACAAGCAGTGCAACCTCAGGAGCACGGATGAGGCTGGGGGCCTTGGTTGGGGAAACAAGAAACACTTTGATTTTCACTTCATTTCCCAGGTGCAAGTTTCCAGAGGAGACCTCTGATAGTGATTAAAATGAGCTCTTCTCCCATGGTGGATGTCTTTCTGGGACAGGAGAAAAAACCCAACATTCTATCCTCTTGCCTGAAGGGACGGCAGGAATAAACTAGCCTTTCGCACAGGAGGAGATGCAGTTCACTTAAAAGCGACTTGCTTTTCTTGAGGCACCAGAAAGGTATAATGCAGGATATAATGCTGCCTGCTATCAATTGGGGTTTTTTGCCCTGTCCATTAGACCGTGATGCTTCCTTTGTCATTTACAAAGTATGCAATTTGTTGCAGCAGCTGTACATGAAGGAACAGGAGAAACAAAAGAATTGCAGGGGAGGCAAGAGAACATGTTAATGATAACCCAAGCTTTGCCATAGCTCTAGCCCTTTCCTCCCAGGACTACTCGATGTCCTGGTTGTGCAAGCACAGTGTCCCAGAGAAAGCAACTGCTCTGTGTCATGATTTCTCTTGCCTTATTGAACATGAAACCCTCCTGACATCTTCATTTCTTTCTCTGAAAAGCTTGCACTATTGGTAGCCACATACTGTTCAAATTTCTGTTCTACAATGGTTGCCTACACTTAGTCACCTTCACTTCCCCTTGCTGGTGTGTGGCATGGGTGGTTGCACCGTTTGCTCTTCTCTTCTGCAGGTTTGGTAAGAGAAGGGGTAAGGATGGTTGGGAAGGCAGCATCCTTCACTGCAGAGAGTAACATCTCCCATTGAGGAATCTGTGTCTCCTTATTACAGCAACAAGAGGATTAGGACCTTACAAGTGTCAGCATTAGTTTGCTGACTTCCATTGAAGAATAACTGGATGCAGTTTGTTTTACATTCAGAAATTCTCCACACACTGGTTTAAATTTCAGAGTATGAAAGAAACGCCAAAGCAGTGTAGTCTGGAAATGCTAAGTGACTTTCAGAATGATTAATCCAAACTTCATTATGTTTACTGTCAGTGTCAGATTGCAGACTCTTGCATTAGTTTCCTCTCAACTGAAAAGTTAATTTGACACAAAAATGAATCGATAAAAAACAATGTCAGATACCAAATCAATAGTGGGAATGTAGGAATAGACTGAAAATTGAGCTTGGCCTCGCAGTGCAAGCAAAATATTTGTAAATTGTTTCTTGTTATTACTCACCTGCTTAGAGCTGTATTCTGAACTCTGTTCCCCTTAGAAGAGCTGGAGATATGACAAGGCCAGTATAGGGAATTTCCGGCAAATGATGCTTGTCATATCTTGAGCTCGAACTGTGGGAATTGCTCCGCTCCTCTCCTCTCCTCTCCTCGCCATACTATCATATCTACATATTTAATAAGTGCAAAATTGTTCTTCTTTCTGTTTTCCTTCTTTCTAGGAATTTGTTAGTCTGTTGTTTCCTTTGCTTTGTTATCCAGAACAGCCAATGACATTTAGTGACTTGCACATGGACTATTTTAATGAGCTTTAGATAGTTGCAGAGAATTGTCATCCATACATCTCAAAATGCATTGCAAAGCAGGTGAACATTCCTAGTTGCATTTTACAGTTAGCACAGAGAAGCTGAGAGGCTAGTCACAAGCACAGATTTTTGTCCCCTGAAGTAATGGTTTATGCTGCTTTGGTCCTTATATAGTGTAAACTTCTTCCAGAAACCAATTACATGAACATAACGTTTATCAGGCTTAAATAGTCCTTTTCCCGAGGAGAGGAATTATGTGCATCGTGTAAGGGTTCATATAGGTCAGGCCTTGTTTAAACGTACACATTGAAAAGTGTTCGTGTTGGAGGATGATCAAATTAAGAAAGTGCACCTTGGATGTTCCGGGGAAAGCAATGAGGTCTCTGCAGTGTAGTTCAGTGTCAGAGGAAGGAACACAAATCCTCACGCCTATTTTTTCTCTCTATTCGATATATTACAGTTTCTTTATAATATACAGACAGCACAATTGCTAAGTAGGAATGCTTCCAGTGAGTTTGGAGACAACTGTATGCTATACCATTTTGCCAGACAGCAACGTATCGAGATGTGAGCGGGCAGTGCTTTTGCCTTGCTGTCAGATTGTTTTCCCAAATATGAGCTTATTGCACTCTGGCGTTGTGTCACAGAGCACTCTCTTTTCTTGGAGAGAAGGGCTTTTATTTCTTAAGCCTGACTGCGTCTCTCGAGTAGAGAAAAAAATGTTTACGGAGGATTTCCCCTGAACATGTGGGCCTGTGTCTGCCTGTCTTCTCAGTTGGAAAATTCATTTCACAAGACAAATAACTGAGCTGTAGGCTAACTGGGAGAGCAAGCAGATGTGCTTCCTGCAGTTGGAACATTTTTTTGTCTTTTCCCGTTCTTCACTCTGTCACCTGTCTCCAGTGACACAGTGATGAAAATACTCCTCCTCTCCTGTGCAGAAAAGGTCTCAGATTGCTCCAAAACCATATGTTTTGCCTTCCCTTTTTTGACGTTTGACAAAAGCTCTAAGTTTGAGATACTTCAGAGGCATTCAAATAATTAGGCAATGGTTTGAAGCTCGAACACTGGGGCTGTTCATAAGGTAAACATTATTTTATGTGCTCAAACACTTTGCTCAGACAGAGCCTATATGAAGGTCTTCATTATAGACAAAGTATGGTAACACTAAAGACAGATAGGTTTCATTTCAAAATGTCATAATAGGGATTTTTAGATAATAGACCATCCTGGTCCTGTTTGGAGGTATATTCTTTATGTAACCCAACATAACGTTAGCAGCTCACATGTTTTCTCCCAGCACTTGAAAACAATGCCCTGAAAGAAAATAGTAATGTTCTTAACCATATTTAATAACACATTACCTATACAAATCTAGATTTACAAATGCCAATAGATACTTGCATGTGCAAACATATCTTTTAGTGCCTCAGTAAGAGGCATGAATAATATGTAGTCATTAGAGGTCAGGGTCTGAAAGCTTGGCCCTATCAATCTGCCTGAAGGAGGATTGTAGAGGACAGCAGAACATTTGAAGTGGAAATCAGTAAGACTGGGAGATGTTATGATGGGAACAAGACAACTTATTTCAGTAACAAGGTAGGACTACTTTGCTGTAAAATTGACTATTTGTAAATAAAACTAATCAGAACATTTTCAAAAAAGGGGTTTAATATCTTAGGGATAAATTTCAAATATATCAGTAATTAGTTAACTGCATCTTGCGTACTTTTTAATGATTTTCTTAACTTTTACTGTCAGACTTAAAGGAGAAACTATTGCTGTCTTTCAAGAGAGAACGAGATGATCTCTGCTCAGAATTTCTCTAATCATGAGTTTAATACAAAATACAACCAGTGTTACCGCATAGACAGTTTTGTACTTAATACAATGCATCGGGTTACTCCCTCAAGTATTTTCATTTGTATTAAGTTCCCTCTTTTTTTTTCTCCTCTTAAATGATCTCAAAAGATTCTCAACCTTGCTTATGTGACATCTGAACCTGCAAGACTGGAAGATGACAACACATGAATCTGGATATCTCTCAGTGCTGTGTCCACACATATATGTTTGAAGACAGATGCTTGTCCCGGGCCGTTTCCTGTTAAGATCATTCTCTGCATAGTTAATGGTTTTCATTTTTTCTTCTATGTGCACCATTATTTGATAGGACTTAGTCAACTGTGGAAATCAGACAGTGATATTTTTGTTAATTACTCAATTTGTACGTATATTTTCCTTCAAGCAGTGACTGCTATTTTTCGCAGGTACAATGGGAATGCATTAACCCCAAGTACAAAGCAAAGAAGAAGAATTACAAGAACTCAGGCATCGTCATCCTTAACCAGTGCAAGGTAAAGATGTGTTTTGCTCTTTGGCTGTTTCTTTACTAAGCTCTCAGCAATATATTTTAATGGTGTTTGGAAATGTAGACAACAAAGTGGAGCTGCCTGTAGAATGGAAGCTGATCCACTACAAAAAGTAAAGACAAGGACTTGAATCCCAAAGTAAGCTCACTGTCCCCAACTCTCCTCTTTCATTTTTCTTGCCCTACCTCTGCTGTTGTGCAGTAGAGTAGGCAGTACTAAACTCTTACACCTACAAGTCTGCCAGTTGGCCTTTTGTGTGTTTCCCTTCTAATCCTTCTATCATTTCTACAAAATTGCTCTTTTTCTTCCTCAGCCAATAGCAAAATTTCCACTGACTTCCCACTGAGAAGGAGCAGAGCTTGGTTTTACTTTTGATGTGAATTTTCCTTTCTGTAGTTTTAGAATTTTGATTTTTTCTCTGTTTACATTTTTGTTTCTATCTCAAACTATATTTAATGCTTTCTCCCTTTACCTTATTTTACTTGGCCCCTTCCCTCCTTCCAATTTACTTTTTCCAGGCAGTTCTCTGATGTTTTAGCAGTACACAGCTAATTGGAATGTCTTGCTTTCTTGCCTGCAGATCCACAAGATGCATTCTTTCTTAGATTATATCATGGGAGGCTGCCAAATACAGTTTACAGTAAGTGTCTTACTTCTCAAACTTGTTTTAAAGAAAGGGAATCTCCTTAAATATTGATTCATTACTTTCACAGAGAAATGATTCTTATATGCTATTCCTTAGCAAATTATTTAGGTCTTCTTGCAAAATGTATTAAGCCCAGAAAATAAAACTATGATGGTCATTAATGCAGTAAGATTTTTCTTGCACATGCTGATTTACTTTTATGCTTTGCAGCAATAACAATCACGTTGCAAAAAGTAAAGACAACTTCATACAGGGATGAGAAGCTAAGCTGATATGGTCCCACCAGTTCCATCTGAGCTACACCAGTCCCAAAAGCTGGACAAAATAATTAGTCCCTGTGACAGTGCTGACTGGCCTTTGGCTTTTGAGCCTATTTGTACACAAGGAGTTCAAATAAATTCCCTTGCTCGGACTGTGTCACAGAGGAGGATTTAATCTCACCTGCTTTTAGCTACTTATATGTTAGATGTCCTGTTCATCAGTCCTATGGACCAGTCTTCCTCTCCAGAATGAGTCCTCCATTAAAGCAAGTTGTTTCCCCTCTAACGGTGCTACACAGAAAGTCACAGGCAAAGAGATAGTCCAGCCAGAGACCTCTCTCCATCGCTGACATATTGTACCTCAGCCGTAACTACCAGCGGTAAGATGGCACTACAGGGGGACAAGGTCATAACTTAGAGCAAATTCAGAAGCTATTCAGTTCAAGGAACAAGGGGATAAAATTATTTGTGGAGCTTTCCATAAACAGAAATAAAATATTTTGCACTTCCATATAATCATTTTTAGAAACATTTAATGCTGTGTGGTTTTGATCTTTTCTTTCTTTTTGTTTTGGTATTTTCAATCTGAGAAAAAAAGTAAAATAATATATCAGCATTTCCCACAGCATAGGCATACAGATTGTAGTTCAGTTCCAGTCTGGCTTATGTAACTTCTAATTTCATGCCAGTTACAAGGATAAAATCTAATGCTCCAGGGTAATATTATTCTTCTGGAGATCTTTTCTTTTCCTGTAGCACCTTCCCTGTTTCTGCTCCCAAGTATCAAGTGTCAGACATTGGATGCTACTGAAATGTTCCATTTCACTTTTTCCAGACAAGCCTTCATTTTCCAAAAAGATTTAACAAAAAAAGATTTTATTTTTTTTTGTCCCAACAGAAAGTTCCGGCAATAGCAGCAGCTCTAGACAGTTGTGGTTGTCTTCTTGTGTACGAATCAGCTTTTCAAGGTGTAAAACATGCACTTTGCCAGTACACCTCACAAGCTCATTGGGTAACACCCAGAACTGAACGCAGAACTGAAACCCTGTTTCTAGTTTTAAAGGAAATACCTACAGCAGTGGACAAAGATCTTTAAAGTTGTCTTCTCTCAAGAAAAGCATCCTGTGTAATTACCTCTCTACCTTACCTTTCATCATCTTCTGTTATCCCCATATGGCTGCAATGCCCATTTCTCCTCCAAATCTGAAACTCTCCAATTCCTGGAAACCCCTTTCATTTTTCTTTCCTGACATTTCCTCCCTAAAAATATGGCTGGAAGAACTCAATTTTCAAATGTGTTCAAGGTCATTAGCAGAAAGACAGTAATGTCTTTCAGTAATATTTATAAGCCTTTTTTAACCAGGGCAGGTGCTTAAGCACATGCAGAGACTGGTTCATACGCATTTGCTACAAGTCTAGCACAAGCACAGGAGCATTGCAATCATTAGAAAGTATCTAGGGATATACATATTATTACATTACAGCTGTGCTTTTCAAAGTCTTTTTGATTCCTCCTTAATTTTTTCTAATGGAAGAGCAAGTCCTTTCACAGCATGCTGAAGGGTTGTGGCAGTTTGCTTCCCTTTTATTTACTTCTCACAGATTTCCTATTTAGTAGGCTGTGAACAACAAGTTGAAAACTGCTGTGTTAAAATGGATTTCTTGCTATATCTGACTGATAGTATTGCTTCTACTATATTTTACTATTCTAATATTTCATTTCGCTGAAATGAAACAAACCCATTGTTAGTAGGAAACTCAGGTAAACTCACCTGCAAGAACGGGCAGTGAGGACATAAAGGAAATTAAAGATCCATTTTACTGTGAACTGCAGAGAACCCTGAATTGCTGCTGACCTCCATGGTAAATCCACTAGCTAAAGAATTGTGTAAACTCATCACTATCGGTTTTCAACCTACGTGGACTCAGGGGAAGCTGTTGTGGGTGTCTCTGTGCCTGCAGCTCTGTTCACGCATAACCCAGTGGTTCTACTTAAAGATCGTCACGAGCTGACTGCCTGCATATTTTACTGCTCCTGCCTCGGTTGCACCGCTCCCTGGTGCTGATGGCACAGACTGGTTGTGAGATGTGTTGCTGTTTCCAGAAATGTATTAGAGATTCTCCAGTGGGCCCTGAAGCAAAAGGGTGCAGCCTACGGGGAGATATCCAATGCTCCCTTGCTTTCTGCACACACCATATAATCTCCTTTTCTCAGTCCTCATCTGGTTAATTCAGACCACTGAAACAGAGGAGGCCTATTCCTTCCACCTTCCCAGATTTCCATTTCTTTTAACTGGAATGGATGTGGAATTGTTTGAAACCCTCCTGGTACATGTACTGTTGTTGTTGTTGTTGTGATTATGACATTATCACTATGACATTATCATTAATCAAAATTAATGACATTTCTATTGAGTTCGTGCTGTGTACAGGCTGTACAATACAACTGTGGTTTGAAGGGGCACTTGCTGAGGGAGGGAAACTGGGATGCTAAGCATACATTTGATAACAAAAAGCTGTAGTATGATGTACCTGCTAATTTAAAGCACTAATGAAGGCTTTGGTAATGTCATGCTGTGTGTTCTTGGGATGCTTTGTACATCTATTGTAGGAACAGAGTTTGTAGTTAGAAAGAATGTCTCTGAAAAACGAAAGTAAACTTTTCCTTCACTTTAAAACCATTTATTAAGAAGCTTTCATCTATAGAGATCAATAGTGCTGATTCCAGTCCGCTACTTTTATGCACTGCTTATTGCAAAACGCTGTATCTCTTATCAGACAGTGTTCCCTGCTGCAGAAGAAATGTTCAGAAGTTGGCAGTGCAAATGGGTCTGTAGTCAGAAGACATTTTCATCACTTTAGGAAATACAGCAGAAAGGATGTGTAACATGCATAAAAGGGACTGTAATAGAAAGATCTATTGGACAGATTCTGTCTTAGGCAGGTCACGGTATTGGGCAGGCTGATTCATTGCTGACAGATCTAGCAGGAAGTCCAGGCTGTGTAGGATGTTTTCAGTGCAATGAAAATCACCCTTTTACAAGGCTGAGGAAAAACAGTACTAAGAGTGTAGTTATTGCTACGTTATGTTCTTATTTAGCTGTGGGAAGATGACTGGGCCATTTAAACTGATACATTTAAAGATACACTGATAAAAATCAAATGTACGCCCTGTAAAAAAATTAGATTCCTACTTGCTGCCCACAAGATAGCTCAGTTGTGATATTAACCTAGCTTCTGTGGTATGTTAGTTTTACAGTCTTTATTCTGCTTATTTGCACAAGACCTTGGTACTGCCGGGTAATGCTAAAAGAGCAGAGCTCTGCATCGTTATTTTGGAATTGTGGCAAGTAACAGCAATCATCTTTCTTAAAAGTCCTCCCCTGGGGAATCAGAGAGAGATTTGGATCAAAGTCAAGCACAGTGCATCTGAGTACAAATTTTCATAAAGGCTTCATCATAGGAAATTAGGGTATTTTTTGCTTATCAGCAGGTCTCTACTACAAGGACCGTTTCCAAAAAGGAAGCTTGTTTTGGGGAGGGTTTTTTCCTTTCCCAAACACTAGCCACAGACTTTTTTTCCAAGCTCCTGAAACCCACTGTAGTCTTGTTTTCAATTAAAAAGCATTTAGGCATGGCTAGCAGCCACGAAGGCAGACTTTGCCAGTTCTGTCTGGTGTGTCACTCCAGCCTCAATAACGTCTGTTTTGAGGTTATCATTGAAAACACCTACTTTTCACAATTT